CCCCAAAACCCCAAAACCCCAAAACCCCAAAACCCCATATAGTCTAAAAAGTCAAATTAATTAAAATTATATAATATTTATATATTTATTGAAAGCCATTCATAAAAATGAACATAATTGAGAGGTATTATATGAAAAAGGCTAGTTCCTACCAAACTGATACCAAATATGATCGTCTTGAACCTTCTGATATTCATCATATAAAGAGAGCTGAATTTTATTTGGTTGCAGCACCAGTTGCTACAGTCAGCATTTTATATCTAATAAATAAGCTTAAAAATGAAGTTTTGATGTCATAGCATTTCTTTTACATCATCAAAAGTTATCAAGAGCGCTTCTAATCTAAGTACAAAAGAGAACAAGATTAAAAAAGAGCATAAGAGCAAGCTTAAAAAGAATAAGCAAGCAGGTCATCAGACTAAAGTGACCCAAAGAATCTCAACTAACTATATAAATCAATTGAATAGGAAAAGTAATAGCAAAGAGAAAAAGAGCTAGAAGCAGTCAAAGCTAGATAAGACGACGCTAAAAAGATGTAATAAATGTCATACAAGAGAAATATTGATCCATTTGAAAAGAAATAAAGATATACTATGTAAAATAGTGATTTACCAGGACAAGAATTCTCATCAAGAAAGTTAACTAGTAGGAGAGATGAAAATACAGTTAAAAAGCAAGAAGGTAAAATGAATGCCTCTCAATACATGGAAAGTTCAAACTAAGTTTATCACGAGTCCTATACAAAGCCTGAAGGATCAATTTATACTTAAGCTCTCAAAGACTAAAATGTTGAGTAATATGCTCCTGAAGGAGCAAATGCCATGGATAGATAGAGATAAAAAATGAGAGGTATGCAATTTGGATATATAAGAGAATCATACAATAGACTGCTAGGAAGCACAAGAAGTCAAAGAAGATTCAAATTATTTATGTTTGCATTTCCTGCTATCATTAGTTTTGGTGTTGCTGTTTAGAACTATCTCTAAGTCACCTTCGGTATTTATCTAAAGTATCAAGCATTGGTAGACTCATACTATCTCTAATAAAAAGAAACAAATGAAATATCTTTTATTGAGAACACCCAAGAGATCATTCTTAAATAAATTTAGAGTCAATAGGGTTCTATCGTCCCCACCCCTAATCAATAACTATGACCTATTTAACTTTAATTAAAATATTCAATTATTGATATTCATAAGAGAGACAGTCATTTCAATTTACCTTATGGGGTTTTGGGGTTTTGGGGTTTTTGGGGTTTTGGGG